AAATTCTAACGTGTTTCTCTAGGCATCTAAACTACTATTCTTTTATGTTCCTGGTTGCAATGTCTGATATAACCCACCGCCACAGTGACTGCCAGTGCATGGTCTTGATCTTGATAACATTCGTGCTTTCATTTCAACTCTTGATTGGCCTTTAGCAGTCAGTAAGTGAGGCTGTCACTCTATCTCCCATCCTTATGAAATTGAATTTTATGAAAGAGACATAGCCTAGAGTTTGAGAGGTTTGATTGACATCTTCCATATGGCTGCCTTGCTTCAGTCACATAAACGGTGCCCTGGAAGGGCTGGTGTCTTCCTTTAAGCAGGGAAAGAGCAGATAGGGGGGAAAGAAGACAGGGAAGACCCCAGGCGTAGGACTCTCTGGCATCCACTGCTGTTCCCTGAGATAGTACGCACGCCCCCCAACTCCAACCCAGTTAGATAGACAGCGTTTGCTAAACAGGAAACACTGATGACAGTAATTACATTGTTAATCCACCGCTTCAAATGGGGAGAGGGCAGGAGTATTGGAGGGGCATTTTACCTCGTTTTGAATTCACACAACAAAAATCCATACAAAGATATACAAGTGTTTATTAAGACCCAAGCTGAGAGCTACCTAGCCATCACTTCTCTGATAATGATATATGAGGCATGTGTTTGGACTCTTTATCAGCTTTTCAGAAAAACATATATATCTGCAATTTTACCTAGTTGACAAATTTCAAATTCTCCAGATGGCAGCTTTAATATGTTTAATATGATTGTGCTGTTCAAAAATAGCAATAGAGTTATCTCTAGAGAAAGTCATTTGCTATGAGAAGGCAATACCATATGAAACTACGAACATTGCAAGCTTTTTTTGCTACTTGGCTTTCACTGAGCTCTCGATGAATAAAAAGTCAGTACTGAACAAATAGCTAATGCTAATGATGAACTTAGCAACTGATTCTGCCCAATTCCTAAAGTCCCTTATTGAATATAGTCAACCCATTCCTCATATGCGTTTCCCTGTGTTGGTAATGTTAGCCACATCGAAATGTTTTTGTTTGTATGTACTTGCCACATGAATAGACTTGGAAGTGGATCAGAACCAAATACGTAGATCTAGAGTGAGGGTGTCATTTGAACAGCTACACCTGGGCCCTCTTGAGAGTTTTGATAATTTCTGCCTAAAAACCATTTCAGATATTAGCATATCTCATAATATAAGGCTGATTCTGCCAGATAACATACAAATTGTCTGATTCATCTCATCACGTATTCCCAATCCCACACTCACTAGTACCTTAGGTATGCTTTGTGTTGCTCAGTACTTATAAAACATCATCAAAAGTCATATCTGAACATGACAAAAATGGATAATATAGTCAGTCACATTAATGATCTAAAAGAAGAGTATAAAGTATATATCTCCATAGATGCAGAAATAATTGGTAAAGATCAGCCCCTATTTATATTAAAAAAGTAAAAAACCTCCTAAGTGATAGTGATGGAAGGGATCAGAATTCTTTGTGGAAAGCACCAAGTTATAATAATAAAAGCATACTATGCTAATTAGACCAGACATCCTTCTGGACATCCTTCCAGACGACCTTCTAAAAAAAGCCAGGACTGTGAGGGAAGCCTGGGTCCCAGGTGCCTGATGGCAGCCAGAGAGAAGCCCGGGTCCTGGGTGCCAGAGGGAAGCCGGTGCCAGCAGCAGGGGGAAGGAAGGCCTACTCTTGCATGAATTTCGTGCATCAGGCCTCTAATGCATTTCTAGTACGTTAGGGTTCAGAAACCAAACACACAAAATACCCCACAATTTATAGAGAGTAAAATAGACAAGCATGAAAGAGACTTATTCCATAAAATTTTAATATGAAAATCACATACTCAACAGCAGTATATGTTTTCCAAGGCATATGCTAGTACATATATTTGTAAGTCAGGTGATTGAAAGAACATAAAATTTATATATATATATATAGAACAAAAGGTCCAATGAGAGAAAGGGGATAACACTGAGAACATGGGTTGAAAGAGGCAAAGAAGAAAATAAAATGAGCAAAACAAAAAAGGAGGTTTGCCTTGACCCATAATGGTATAAGGTCATGATCTGACAAGTGTGATCAGACATTCTCTGGACTAAATAAAGAAGGTAAAAATGTAGTGTGTCCTGTAACAAGCAGATGTCAGCAACATAAACTGTGAAAGCATTTTGTTTTGCAACTAGGTGTGCCTGGAGTTCACACAGTAGGGACAGACACAGGGGCCATGCACAGAGACCTACATTTCTGTTCTAACACTTACCACTTCTCAGACTTCAGCGGATCACTTAGCCACACCGTCTCTTAGATTTCTCACTCTGAAAAATAGGACAATAGTAGTTATCTCCCGGTTTTTGTGCAGAATCAATGAGACAACACGTGACTTGGAATAGTGTGAATGCCCAGCACAAAAGTAGTTTAACAAATATGTTTTCTCTTTCCCCCAATCCCACATCCCTCCCGGTAATTTTAAAATTGATCCACATCCTGTTGCAAGGGATTCTTGGAAAAAAACTATAACTACTTCTCTAAGTCATTACTATGATACTCACTGAATTTTTTCAGCGAATCTTCCATTTTTTCAGTCCTAGCTCTAAATTACACAATCCATGATAAAGCTATTTATGATGGCTAATAGGGCCAATCAAAAAAAGAGGAAAAGGCAGAAACATTGTAAGTGAAGAATTGCACATTAACTTATTCAGTCTGCATAACCTTGTAAATAATATTTGATGACACTATTAGTTCTGTCATAAAAAAGGCTGATAAATGTTGATGTGACTTTATTTTAGCTTTGCAGTCGTAGCAAGTATATTATCATCTATATATTCTTTATAATTAATGATGGTAGTGCTATTTTCTTCCATAATTCAAGCATTAATGGGGATTACCCGCTGTTTGACTGATGTGCTTCATCCTCTCTACTTTTCCCTGTTGTGTCCCCACAGTCATAATGCTCCAATTTATAGTTTAAATTCTTCTTGATGCTGTTTTACATCCCTACTCACTATTTATTCATAGGCTATGGATAAGAGAAATATCTTTTAGAATGGGCTTTTACACAGATGATTAGCAAGGGTGCTCTGAGAATCACCACCTATTTTTTATGCCATTGATGTATTCCAACAAGACACATGTAACACCACCTAACATCATAGTGGGTCTCCTTTTTAGGAAGTATTAACTGCATGGTCACAGTTGAAGGACTGTTTATTCAGAAGGCAGTTCAAGGTTGTGAGTCTGGGGTCACGTGCAACTTCCATGCCAGTCTGGTTATTAATCAGTCAGAACATTACTTTCCACTGTTGGGACTCTGTTGGCATTTGTGAATTTCTATTATGCAGGCTAGAACAGACTTAGCTGCTGTTTCTGTAAGCATTGCCAAGTGAATTTCACCATTGACTAAGTGAAAATGAAGATTTGACGAGGCAGGGCTGTTACATTGCAACCATGACAATGGTACCCAGTGTGCCTTAGGAAAAACAGGTGCTGTGCTAACAGTTGTCGTGAGCTTCTTTTCTCTTTCACTGCCTGATGGAAAAATGTGCTGCTCAGCTAAAGAAATTCAGTGGGACTGATGATCATTCAAGTGGTCTTTAAACTGAGCTACACGTATTTCATTTAACAGTTTCAAGAGTTAGGATGTCCTTCTGACAAGAATTAAGTTTAAACCAGTGATGTTGGTAACGGGGGTTTTACAAATAATTTTCCTTTACAGCCTGAGTTAAAAAAAAATTTGTTGAATCTTTGTTTGGAACATCAGGTCCTTTCACAGTGTTTTAACTCAAACAGACAGTTTATTGTCATTCCACCAGGGGCAGGCAGGAAGAATAAAGCTAGGTTTAAGACACCCCTTGCCCCTTGCTTCAGTAGATCTGAAGAGAGACTTGCCAGCTATCCAGGTTTCACTTTTCAGTATAAAATGCCACTTCTGGACTAGAACCAATCTTAGTGTTATTTATTTGGTATTTTTTTGTTTTTTGGTTGCTTGGTTGATTGGTTTGCTTTCCCCCCTGACTGCGTATCTACATGTGTCTTCATTGTAAAACTATAAGCACAGATGAATGTAGGAGAATTTGAAAGGACTTCAGTCCCTTGCTTTTTTATAACAGTAATGCTTTGTTTTTATTTTTTGTTTCCATTGGAATAGAAAATTAATTCCATTATATGTCTACATGTGATGATCCTCATCATCTGTAAGCACAGATGAATGTAGGAGAATTTGAAATGACTTCAGTCCCTTGCTTTTTTATAACAGTGATGCTTTGTTTTTATTTTTGTTTCCATTGGAATAGAAAATTAATTCCATTATTTAATTTTCTTTTAGAGCCCTCCTTTTACCTGGTTACTGTAGCTAACGGGGTATGACAAAAAGCCATGTTTGATTTACAATGCAATACTCTTAGGGTTAGAAGGACCCTAGATATTAGTTGGAGTCCTGCATTTTGCAGATGAGGAGTCAGACCCCTAGAAAAGGGAAATGACTTCCTGGGGCACTGCAACTGCTTAGTGGCAGATCTGCGTGTAAAATTCAGGCCTCTTGACTTACTCCATAGTTCTTTTTCTTCTATATCAGCCCCTCTTGTCCTATTCCCTTACATAAGGACCTTGAGCAGATACTAACAACAAACCCTTCCTGTGGTCTCCCCGAAGAACTTTCTGGTTGATGAGCTCAAGTGCTTGACAGTGACTATGGCAATATACGTAATTTATCCTGTGACTGCACAGATGACATCCTGTGAATACTGCTGGAGGCCTCTACAAACTCAACACTGAGAGGATTGTTAGTGTCTATGGATCCACAGCTCCCATAGTTTTCATTTGAAATAGACCTGAAAATGTCATTCTCACTGTTAAAGACGAATGCCGGATATGGGTACCGCAGTTATAATGGCTAATTATGGTGTTAGTGAGATCCAATGCTTTCTTTCACCAGTGTGCTCACCTGTATATCCTGTTTTGTTATTCTAGGTTTGTGTGCTGGAGAGGCAAATATTTGACTTCCTTGGATATCAGTGGGCACCTATCCTGGCAAATTTTGTACATATTATTATCGTCATTCTTGGTTTATTTGGAACTATTCAATATAGACCTCGTTACATAAAAGGAGTAAGTACCCTTCCAACCTTTTTCCAATGTTACTGAAATAGAGAAATCTATGAAAATGTCTTAAAATTTTATATGCATAACCTCTCCTTAAAGTAAATATGTTTGTTTTCATAGTTTCAGATGGCATCTACAGTAGCTGAAAATGTCAAGTTTAAAGCATATGACAGTGAATGTAATCCAATTGTTTTCATAAAGTGTACTTACATCAAATTTTCTTTTGTAATTAAAAGCAGAATTATGCCCCTATGCTTCTAAAGCATAAAGTCATAGCCTCTGACTTAATAGATTTAATGAAAATGTTCCCATTTTAAATAATCATATTTTAAAACTGAATAAAGATAGTTTAAATTAATACAAATGAATTTATAGTTTCAGTGTGAACATATTAATACATATTAGGGTTAAAAATTGACATGTTTGAAAGCCAAAAGAGTCTGGACCAATATCTCTGTGTTCTCCATGATTTCCTTTTTGGCTCAGAGAAAGTATTTTGCATTCCCACTCAAGTTAAGCTTACTTAACATAAAAGTGAAATCCAACTGTGTTGCAGTTGCTATGGGAACCATAACTTAGGATTTTTTTACTTTTGTATGTGCCTCAGATCTCAGCTATAGCTCTTCATTAATGTCTTTTTTTCTGTCTCATCATTTTTTTCTCTGTCTTCTATTTTAACAAGGGAAAAGTCTATAGGCATTTATTTAAAATTATAAAGTGAGTTTGTGGTAAAAGTAGACGTAGAAGATAGCACAGGTGAAGCTCTGCCTTATTCAGCACAAGCCGGCAGGTTGTCTGGGTTTCAGGAAGCCCTCCCTCACATAAAAGATGCCTCCTATGACCTGTTCTCTTTGTCACCGGGAACCCAGATAGTGCTCCTTGGTTCAGAAATAGGCAATATGATAGCAACTGGGGCGCAGACATTCACTGTCTGGTTAAAGATGAGCAAAGAGTTCATAGTCTTTTCAAAGTGCACACCCAGAAATTGAGTGCATGTTATATCTAAGGCTGTGTGCCCATGTAAATCTCTTAAAAAGACAGATGTGTTCTCTTGCAGAGTGAAGTTTTTCATTGCACAGGATATTAATAGTATGGTTCAATTTTTGTACTTTGATCCAATATAGGCACACTCTTACAGGGTTTGGGAGTGAAGTCATAATACCTGGGTTGAAATCTTGCATCTGCCAAACTCTGTGTGACTTTAATATTTTTGCTTATTGATTGAGTTTAGAGCGAGAGAGGAAAGAAGAGAGAGAGAGAGAGAGAGAGAGAGAGAGAGAGAGAGAGAGAGACTTTGATTTATTGTTCTACTTATGTATGCACTCATTGGCTGATTCTTGTATGTGCCCTGACCTGGGATCAACCCTGCAAACTTGGCCTATTGGGATGATGCTCTAACCGGCTGAGCTAAACTTTGTGTGACCATAGAGAGCATAACCTCACTGATCCTTAGTGTCCCTATCTTTTAAATGAAAGCAATAATTATATTAATCCATATGATTTAATTAGTTTATATATTATAACCAATTATATAAAAGATTCTTAACTTTTATTAATAAAAGACTTTGAGGTTTCTCCATGATTTTATTCTTACAAATGATGCCGCTCTGATCATTATACATATAGATATGTCTTCTCCATTTCTATGAGGTTCTTGGGACAAAATTCTAGGTATGGATCAAAATGTTTGTACAGCTGAAACACTCGGAGGTTTGTTTTGAGGAATAAATGAGATATTCTATAAAATGTCCTTAGCACAAAATTTGGTGTTTAAAAATTTGTCCATAAATGTTAGCTATAAGAGTGTTCTCTTTATTGTTATTATTATTTGAAAATAATACTAAACTGTATAGATTAACAATAGGCTGGCAGGCACTTTAAAATAGAGTAAGGTGTTCCAAGCTGTTAGTTGAACTATTTCTGGCCCTTTTAGTCCAAGCTGCTACAACTCTAAAATATGGTACGTGATTTCTGTGTATCAAATTATAATTCCATCCCTGTAGATAAAATACATACCCACAAATCTTTTCAAGACGGGCTGCTCTCTCTAGCATGAAAGGTAAAAAAGGATGCCATGGGACATCTTTAAGATTGTTAGAACTTTTGGGTAGCTCAGAAAGTCTGAAATCTTTCTGAGGTCTTAACAAGGTGTCTTAGAGCTACATCTTTAGTTTGATCTTGACTAGCAGACAGCATTTTGAATTTGATCTTTTCCTTGAGACATTGTCTTACTTGGAAAATCTCTTGACAGCTGGAGATACTGTAAATGTGAAACTTTTATTTTCTAAATCAGCAAGTTCTGAGTTGGAAAAATATCCTGTAAATTATACTTGAAAAATGAATTGTTCCTTTTTGTTCATTGTTCTCTTAAATATCATGTTATATGTGTTTAAAAGGTAACAAGTGACACTGTCAATTCTTTGCTTGAAACCCCCTTAGCCTGGCCCACAAGTTTATAGGTGTGTTCTCTGTCTTCCCAGTTACTGCAGGCTCTGGACAGGCTAATTGTTCTGACAATTGTCTTCCTGAGTCCTTTTGTCTCCGGCCCTCTGAAACAGTTTCCTTACGTTGTTTCTGTCTCCACCTATAGTCTCCTTGCTGCCCTCTGGCCTCCACCTGCCTTCTTGTCTCCAAACTAATGCTGAGTGTTTTGGGTTTGTGTTACAGTACCACTCAAGTTTTAGCACCAATTTCTGTTCTAGTTACCTATTTTGGTGTAATTTCTGTATAACATACCATTTCTGTATAATTGCATTCATGGAATCTGGTGGCTGTGATACCATGTTGAAAGTCAAAAGTGCAATCAGGAAAATAGATAATTTGCCATAAAAATTGAATTAAAATTTTTCAATTTCCCTTAATATGGAAAAAAACAACAACAGCTACTACAATTAAAAGACATTTCAATGGCATCATAGATGCAAAAAACTTTGGTCAACGAAGGACCTGGGTTTAACATCTTATCAAACAATTTGAAACTTATATAACCAATTCATTGTGCATTCTACCAATTACACTAATGTTATATGTTATACTACATAACATAATACATAATACATTATGCTGTTTTTATATATATTATGCTATTTCCATGTCATTATTATAAACAATTCCCTATTTTTTCCACAAAAAATTCCTCATCTTTACTTGCAATTTAATTCCTTAGGAAGAATTTTCTAGGTATAATGAAATAATATGAATAATTTTAAGGCTCTTAATATATAACTGAGAATTACCTACCCCTAATTATTTTACTGAATTTTCCTCCCACCACTGTACAGCAGAGTCTATTTCACTGCACTCTGGCTAACCTTGAATATTATCTGTTCTCACTTTCGCTAATCTGATAGGAGAAGAAAATATATTTTAAATTGCCTTTCTTATTTTTACTGAGTTGGGCTTTTTCATATGTTCATTAACCATTTTTATTTCTTTATTTCTTTTTTGGGAGATTATCTTTTGGTGTTCATTGTTCATTTTCCCCCTGGAGTCTTAGTGTTTATCTATATATGGATCACATAGTAAAGATATTTAATATTTAAATATTATAAATTTTCATTTGATACTTATTATTTTTCTCTTATTAAAATTAACTTTTCTTTCTCTTTGAGATTTCTTGTATTGCTTTAAACATTATAAAATGTATATATTATTTGAAAAGTGTAATGTTAGGCCTTGATTATCTTTGGGTCTAAATTTACTAAATCAAAAAGGCAGATACCCTGAAATAGAGTCTAAGAAATGCATCTCTTTCCACATTTGCTGTTTGTAAAGATTTTTATTTATTGATGCAACATTTTACTCTATGCTTTGTTTTGTTAACTGGAAAAAAAAAGCCCCAAAAAAGCATGTTGGCATCATCTGAAACACAGAACACATGATCAACAAATAAAATGTAGAGAGTATTGGTATATTTAAGAGTAAAGAAGAAATTTAAAAAAAATTAAAACAGTTCATTGGAACAGGAAGTCATTAGTATTCTTTGAGGGCCTCTGGCTTTCAAGGAGTATAATATATTGAAGGGAAATGAAATTGATTATTTCAATTCCAAGCAAAGGAAACCTAAAGCCAGAATTCACAGAAAGCATCTAAATTGTGTAATTCTCAACAGTATCAGTCCCCATCCCCCCGCAAAACAAAACAAAACAAACAAACAAACAAACAAAAAACCACAATTAACTCTGGTGAAATAATTCATGAATAAACACATACATGGCTCCCATGAAAGCATTACCTTATTTTACCTTATGTCATAAGTGGAATTGTTTAATGCATCTTTGTCTGGGCCCGTGGCAAGCAAAATGTGATTTGGGATATCTAGTGTTTATTATGAATGACAAGAAAATGTTAATGAGTTGCACTGCTTTAAATTTTCTCAAATAATCTGAGGAGTGTGTACGTTTCTAATTGCTAATGGCACAGCAGTGTTCTTGGTGATATTGCCAAAGGACATGATGCCATAGCACACAAAAACATTTCCTTCCTTCCTTCCTTCCTTCCTTCCTTCCTCCCTTCCTCCCTCCCTCCCTCCCTTCCTTCCTTCCTTCCTTCCTTCCTTCCTTCCTCCCTTCCTCCCTTCCTTCCTTCCTTCCTTGTTCCTTCCTTCCTTTTCTCCTTCCTTCTTCCCTCCCTCCTCTCTCCCTTTCTTTCTATTTAATGAAGTTATTTTGAAAGAATAAAAAATACCTTATACAGTTTGGATCTACTGGCTTGATCAAAGAAACCCAGTCCCAAAACTAGATATGAATTAAAAATAGCTAAAAATGTATTACTCAAATGTTATAAGAATGTAGAAGAGTACAGCATTCCAAAATCAAGGTAATATTTGTAAGAATCATATATTTTATTCTTGCCACTTTCATTACCCTCCACCTTGATACCTTTCTCTACAAATCCTATAAACCTCACCTGAACTTCACAGCACTTTTGCCTAAGCCCATATGACTAGGGATTGGTAAAGTTAGGATGTGCACCCAGATCCTCCTAACTGCCAAACCCATGCTGTT